CACAAGTAAACATGGCGTTAACAATGGAGGATATATATTACGATAAATAAAATAAAAGATTTTAAATAAACACCATTTCTATGTTTGATGGAATAAATGCACTGAACACATTTGTTAGAGTCAAGGATTAGCAACAAGGTCTGGAATGTAAACACAACATTAGTTTGCTATAAGGAAACTCCACACGGTACCTGTTAGAGATCACTTGATCAGACGTAGAAACATGTCAAAATAGATTCTATCTTTTACAGTGTGTATGGGTTTTGCAACTCAAGAGACATTTGATGTGATTCTGCAGGGTGAGCTGTTTGAGTTGAGCCCGGCCACTCCTCTGCTGAGCCAGGCGATGGTGCTCGGGGACAGACGGACCTTCTCCGTCTACGATCTGATGCAGCCAGTCACCTTCGGCACCGTGCGCTCTCTCAACCCGCTGATCCGCTGGAAATCCAGTGAGGGTGAGTGAGCAGAGCAGAGGATGACACACCGCTTTGTACAAGAGGCCGGACATACAGTATTCTCACACAAGGAGTTAACTAAATGTTTCAACTGCATCTGTTTGTCATCACTCTCTTGGCTACATCTTCTGTTCTGCTATTCTCAGGGTTGGCTGTCAAAGAAGAAAACACTTCTTGTGTCTGAGTTAATTGTGTTTTGTACCGAAGACAGATAGTTTTCATTTGTTCCCAGAGGCTCCCTAGTTTCTCAACATTAGTCATACTAACAGATATTTTTGAGTTCAGTCATAAACGATATTCTCTGACTTCATGAAATGAAACATTACCCATGTGTCTTATTGTCTCTGCACAATGTTTCCCATATGGTTGACCAATAATCCTCCATGTCTCATACCCCCCCCCCCTGCAGGAGACATGCTGCGTCCCCTGCTCCATGCTGAGCGCTACGTGGCAGGTTACGGGCTGCAGACAGGAGAGATTCACACTCTGATGTACAACAACCACCCGTACAGGTCGTTCCCTGTGCTGCTGCTGGACACCGTGCCGTGGTACCTCCGTCTCTACATCCACACTCTCACTGTGACCAGCAAGGGGAAGGACAACAAGCCCAGTGAGTCACTTTAGAAAGTCCAGACGTATGACTGCGCTGCACACATTAACATCTATTAGGGTCTGAAATTAACAATTAGAATTGTGCCAAATGCTGGAACTATTCTTCTATCATTGGTTAGATTGGAAGAAACTCACAAGTGGTTACATTTGGAGATTATAGAAATCAATAAACAAACAAAGAGCAAACATTAAGTGAGACATTTCTATTTAAATGTACTTTAATTAACCATGCAAACTGTTTTCTTGACACTCCCTGTATTTTACACACAATTACTTCCCCTCAAATTGAGTTAAAACTACCATCATGTCCCACTCACACACATGCATCGTCAGCAGCACGGATAACAACAGAACAATTCTGCCCAATATTTGTACCTATTAATTACACTGCTTTTATTGTTTGAGATTGCACACCTTAAGCCTAAAAAAACTTCACAACTAGGTTAATTATTGTAGCTCCATAAGTTATACACTGGACATTAGCCTCCCTACAGGATTCATTGTTTAATCTAATTTCCTGCAATTGCTTCTTCTCACCAGAGGGAGGAGAACACGAGTCATATTTTCTAGCAACTCTCTTTTTTTTCATTCACTGACCATGTCAACGACTAAAGAAAGTGCTGAGCCATTCATGGATTTAAAAACATTAAAGAAGTATTTTACAATCTCAGGGTGTCCGCGGGGTCTTAAAAAGTATTAAAAGTTGATCAATCAATTTAGCAAAAATGAAGGCTATTTAAAAGTATTAAACGGCATTTTCCAAGGTATTACATTTTGTAGCTTGTTTTCAATAAGTATATCAATTGTCCAAAGAGGTTGTATTCTAAAGTCTGCCTGAATGTAATCATGGCGTAGGTGTGTAGTGTGATTCTGTGTAGTTTATTTATGGAATCCCGTTGGATTTTACGTCATCTGAACAGGACATCACACGCTCACTGCTTGATAGCGCAAAGGTCCGTTTACGCCGGTTGTTAAACAACTTCGTTTTGGGGGAATGCAAGTTTGCGTCCAAATGGTTGGAAGATAAGGAGGAAGGACAATCAATACTGTATAATGTGAGGTAAAGTGTGTCGCCAATGTAACCGGTTAAAACTCGAAGTGGCGATGAGGTCTTAAAATGTATGGAAAGGGTCTTAAAAGGTATTACATTTGACTTCAGGATTCCTGCATATACCCTGAATCTGTTCTTTATTTTCTACTGGAAATCTACGAAAATTGAGAATTAAATAGATATGATCAAATATTTAGCTTCTGAAAATGCTGGACTAATTTAAGAGCTTCTTTGTCAGTCCAGCAAAAAAGGCACAGTCATCGAGTTTCACTGTCACATTGTTCAATAAGTATATAAAACTTGTGAAATTGCAGAGGTCTAGCATAAACATTACAATAGTGTATTAATGGTCTTCTTCCTGCACCAGGCTACATCCACTACCAGCCATCTAAGGATCGCCTGAGGCCCCACCTGTTGGAGATGCTCGTCCAGCTTCCTCCCAACTCCGTCACAGAGGTCACGGTGCAGTTTGAGAGGGCTCTGCTCAAGTGGACTGAATACACCCCCGATCCCAACCACGGCTTCTATGTTGGGTAAGCAACATGTAAGGTATTTTCAAACCAATTGTTTCTAGCACATGTTATCTGTGTCTCTTCACACAGTGTGGTGTAGCGTGAGTTTCAGGGGTGTAAGAGTGGAAGGTCTTTAAAGTCATTTTTCCTCTCTTTCGTAAGGACTAACATTGTTTTCTCCAACATTTAGGTCTTCAGTAATCAGCTCTCTTGTACCGAGCATTGTCGCCATGGATACAAACATAACGATGGATCGGCCACTTTTCAGCAGCTTGTAAGTATAGAGTGTTTTGTTTTTCTGATGTTGACTTCCTGTGGAGGAACACATTGTACAGTCTATTTATAATTGACCAATGATCACATTTCCCATCTCCCCCAGTTTCCCCTGTAAAGAGGAGTCAAGCTTCTTTGTGCGCGTCTACACGGAGCCTCTGCTGGTCAACCTGCCCACTCCAGACTTCAGCATGCCATACAACGTAATCTGCCTGACCTGCACTGTGGTTGCCGTGGGCTACGGCTCGCTCTACAACCTACTGACCCGGAGCTTCCAGATAGAGGAGCCCAGCCCGGGATTGGCCAAGCGGTTAGCCAACATCATCCGCAGGATGAGGGGCGTACCGCCACTCTGAGGCTGGAATGAAGGCCAACTGGATCTACTTTTAGGATGGACGTCCTCCTCTTGGTGAAACCACTGGTAAACATGTGACACTCAGGGACTGAGTCAAGCACTGCTATGAATGTTTCTCTAAACAGTCATCTTGAAGGTTTGTTTTTTTAAATGACAGACAACAAATCGTTTTTTTGAATATTGAATTATTATGCCGGGGAAGGACAAGTACATAAAGACGTTTCTCTACCTAAACGGAAAGTAAGAGCTCTGTTATTGTAAGGAACCAAAGCTATGCACTATGCTGCAGTGGATAGCGCGTCACTGTGGGTTGGTTCGAATATTATTGTTTTTTGAATGTTTTAAGCCATAACTCCATTACATCATAATATTTAACCATTTTGTTACAATAGGGTAAGATGATGTTTCTACAAATATGAAACTGATTGCCTCTCACAGCATAAAAAGCCTCAGAGCTGAATGGAAAAAAGGATGATCATCTTTGTTTTCATACTCTATTCCTTATCTGCTGTTTTGTTATCTTCCTGCTGAAAGAAATGCATATAAGCAGTCAGTTTGAATGTCTCATTATAGGATATCAAATAACTTTCCCATGTCAAACCAGAAATATACACAGCATCAAAATGTAACTATGGGACACCGAGTGGTATGTTCTTTTATTTATTTGTCCCTAAGTCATTTGTGGTATCTGACAACTGTTTTATAGTAGTTTTAATATATAAGAAAAGAAGACATGTCAACAAAAACTATGAAAAGTAATCAAAACTATAACATCTGAGCGATAGCAAGAGCATACTACTTGCTCCACAGAAAAGGGACCGCCCTCTTACCAAACATTAATTTTGCACTTGTTGGTTTTTGGATGCATGCTTGAATGTTGAACGCGATTGTCTGAAGGTCTCTTCGTTATATAATGCCTTTAGTTTGTCGGCCTAACTCACTCATTAGTTCAATGCCGTTTCGGTGTGTCTTATAGCAAAAAGAAGTGCTACATTATGGAAAAGACCTTACCCTATCATGAAACACTACCATGCGTTTGTTTGTTGTTTTTTGTTATGTTTGTCCGTCCATTCTGGTCCCCTGGCTGGGAAAAAGTGCACAGAATGTTTGAAGCGGTACTTTGTGTGTGTGGCAAAATGTATGTTCTTTATTGCTTTTTACAATAAACTAAAACATCTTTATTTCAATGTATTTACTTTTCTAGCTGAGAAAGAAGGTACGCCAGTGTAAACTGCACTGGAGCTGTATTACTTCCCACCGAGCGCCGACATTTTTGTGTAAACAAACTTGGCCCCACTTCTGGCAGACTCGAGAGAACCAACACAGACGACTCTGTGTTTGGCCGGTCAGTGATTCTCACCCCTTCACGTTTGGCAACATGGAACAAAAACAAAGAAAAGAGCAGCATTCCACCTAAATGATGTTCAGATCTGCTCCACTGCAAACTGTTTTCTTTCCAATCAAGTACATAAACACAGCCAGAGAAAACAGTCTGTTAAGGATGCATATCTTCAATAATGAGTGGCTCCTCACAGCTATGGTAATGTGTGTTTCAGAGTTTGAGTTGCAGACAATCTTGGCCACCTCTTTTAATAGTCTTGTTTCTGCCAGTAAGCACTTTCCATTCTTGGCATATTTCATCTTTGCTTATTCAGCCAAGCTCTCGCCTAATAAGTCCACAAAAGAGACCTGTTAAACCCAAGACCTATAACCAGCTAGGTGAGAAATACATAAGACATTCCTAAGTTCTGGAAACAGGTTTATTGGTTGAAATACAAAGAATTGCAGTATAGTACAGTACATTTTTCATCAATTGAGATGAGGGGTATTATATCAAAACCCATACACAAAACCGGTTAAAAACCCCAGATGTTATAGTATAAGATTGCAAACATAATGTAGGGTTTGTGAAGACTATGCATGGCAACCTGCCAACGCTTCTTTAAATGAAGAGTAAAATACTTTTATTTTGGTTATTAAAGTACAGGTACATAAAATAATATCCTAACTATATTTGAATGACACATTTCTCTCCTCCCCAAAGAATCCAACTTGCAAATCAATGCTGGGATATAGTTCCAAAGGGTGCTTTTATGGAGTTGAAAAAGAGAACATGACACATTGTCTCTCCACATGCAGCTGAGTCCCGAGCTGTCCAATCAGCAGGGCTCGCTACAGGCGTGGCCGCAGGTTGTCTTGCAGCACTTCTGTTCTCCTGGGCACTGACCGTCATGATAGCAGTACTCGGCACACATTGAGGTCCCCTGGGGAAGAGCGCAGCGACCCCGCTTCACTGAAGAGACAAATCACAGTGTCAACACATTTATTACTCAAACAACGCCAGAGGAACATGTGGACGATTTGACTAACATCTAACCTGTGTACGGGGAAATGCACTCATGTCCACATCCATTATGGCAGCACTTCTCATCATTGGGGCAGTCATTGTCATTGGAGCAATATTCAGCACACATTCCTGAGCCCCAGTTCCTGCGAGGGCACACTCCTTGCTTGGCTGTAGGGAAAAGAGAAAAATAACATATACAAAGATGGATGAAGCAGAAATTAGTTACAAGAACCTGTCCATTCTTGGTTCCCGTGTCACTGAAAAATGTAACAGAAGTTTAAACAGCTGTCCACTTGAGAAAAGGTTTGAGGCTCGTACTGAAAGCAGGGGGGACACAGACAGCTCCACAGTCAAAGACACAGCATTTGTTGTCAGCAGGACAGTCTTCATCACACTCACAACCCTTATGTGATGGGATAACATTAAGAAGGCGTGGGCAGTGGCCTGGTTTGGGAAGAATCGCTGAGAGAAAGAAACAGTAAAGCAGAAGAGGAGATGGATAAGCTGTGGAAACTTGGATTACATTAATGGAATTGTCCTTGTAGTGGAATGTTTCACACAAACATCACATTTGGAGGTTGAACTTTAAAAAACAAACTTACTTGTTAAATTGTCATCAGCACCTACAGCAAAAACGATGTCAAAGTGCACCAAAGCACTGAGTGCTAAAAGCAGTGCCCAAACTGACCCGTGCTGCTCCATGTTACCGGCTTTCTCACAAGAATGTTCTCCTGTTTGGACAAATATCCCAGTACACAACCTGCAGGCTGAGCAGCCCAGGAGGATGCTGGGTCCTCGTGCCTGTAGAGTTACATTCATATTTTTGCACTTTAGGGGTCCTGAGCTTGTCAGAGGGGTGAACCTCATAATGAAGAGTGTTTGACTTTATTTAGAAATTACATGAAGTTTAGGTAATAGTTTGAACATAATTTGAGTGCTTGCAGCCAACATATTCATCTTTATTTTTATTTGGATTTGAATGAAACTACAGCAGAACATTTTATTTCATTTTAGTTTATCATGGAAAAAAGGAGCAATTACTTACCTAAAATGCCATGCTTATTATTGCATGAATAATCTTACAACGATTGGGCATAATTAAATTATTTTTGAGCAAATGATAGTCGATGGTGATTACACTGTTATTAATAAATTAGTCATGATCATGTTTCCATTCATGTTATTTTAAGATGAAAACCGTCATAACTTGGCTGCACTCGATCAGCACTTTGTATTTACTAAGTTGTTTTTGTGTGTGTTGCTTTATTTTTTGTAATGTGGCTTCAGTTGTCCTTCTAGCAAAATGGCACTTAAACTACACTATGAAACAATAAAGATCCTCTGATGTTGTGTGTCTCTCAAAGCATGGAGACTCAGCCTGCCCCTGTGTGGCCATCTATTGGCAACATCTGGAATTACATCTAAACTGTTCCCAGTTACACTATGCTGCACACCTAAAGCACTGTAAATGGTATTTTCTTTACAATTCACCATGGTTATGAAGGAAAAAACGATTTTATTTGGACGAGATATGGGGACTACTCCCAATTAAGGGTATGTGTTTATTTAAGTGTAGCTTTTGCTGACCATTTTATAGGAAGGGAGATGATCACACATTAATAACAAATATGTTTTGCCAAAATATAAATTGAAGGGAACAGAAAGTTGAATTTAAAATATTCTCCCTTGTTACTTTTTAATTCCCTCATGATGTTCCTATCATCTTTATTTTTCCTTTTTTATTTCCAGTATGACTCCACTTATAGTATTATTTGTATTCCAAGAATGAAATCTGATCTCTTTGCTTAAGAGCATGAAAAACATCACAGAGCCCATGAGCCATGATAGAAACAAACAACAAGAGATAGTCTGCACGATTGCATTTTGCTTCTCCATGAGTCAGCTAGCAGCTTTGCATGCATGTATGTATTAGATTTCAGATGAGAGTGGCTGAGGCTCCCACTGCAGCAACGAGACTGGACTATCTGATCCAGTCCCCTGATCCTGATAAGATGGTGCCAATGCATGCACTCTAATGTGCTGTGTAATGGTGAACCAGCCGAAAGCACAACATATCAGCATTACACTGACGGTCAAAGCTACAGATTCATGAACATTTTCATAATGACTTTTTCTAAAGATGGAAAGATTTGCTGTAGGCCCATTTCTAAATGTAATATCACATGAACCATTCACCTCCATATTATCAGAAAGGAGGCAGAACATAGTGGTTGATACTGTAAGCTCCATTTTAATGGTCTACTGGTCGAAAGCAAGCTAACTTAAACTATACTTTAAACATGTAATCCAGTCTGTTGAGTAGCCTAACTAAGAAGGCTATAGATATGTTTGATTATTGCATGTGGAAATAGGTGTAATATCTCCCTGTGAAATGTGCTGTACCAGGTGTTAAACTAATTAGGCTTACATTTAGACTAAATATTTAGGCAACTGTTAGTCGTTTTTATGTAGCAGAACAATAGAAAAATAATAGTCACATGAAAAAGAAGCAGCAGAAGAAGAATCTGAAACTCTGGAAATGACTCATGAAGGTCCCTCACCTGGGGCCTCATTTATAAAGGGATATACGCTCAAAAGATGGCGTACGCCAGTTTCTACGCAATGTTTGCGATTTATAAAATACTAACTTGACGGGAAAATGTGAGGTCCTCCACGCAAACTCTAACCCATGCGTACGCACTAAGCACAACAACGGGAGAGACGAGAAACTGCGACAGCGTTGGCAGAAGGAAGAATGGAGAGAAATATGTGGAAATAATACCATAAATAAAATGTTACCTCTCATTTATCATATATGAAGAATTCATTTTCAAACATTGATTAAAGCCAATCTTAAAATGATTAAATAAATACCTGTTTGCGACTCCTCAGTGCACACAAAAACATAACTTGGAGAAATAAATAAATACGGATATGTTATTGAAAACCACCTCGAATATGTTGTGTTAATGTTATGAAATGTTTTCTCAAATGATGCGGTAAGCAGAAGGACAGAATTACGTCTAAACTGACGCCGTTTTTCATTTCTATAGGCTAGGTTGTAGATACGAGCATGGTTTTATATACTATCATGTTTAATCGTGTTTTATGCCGTTTGCCAAGACTTGATAAGTCGCTCGTAAAACACAGGAGGTATGGAAGCTAAAAACACCATATGTGGTCAATTGTACAGCTAATATAACAAGTTGTAGCCTATTTCCTTTAACTGGTGGATATAGGGTTGCTGCGATAATTTCTTACAGTTTCTCATCAAGGGGGTGTCTCCTGTCCCCGGTACAAACACACTGCCTGAGGAAGGATGTGTATTGTTTTTGTCATTAACCTTTTTCGGGCCATTTATTTATTTATTTTGGTGACGATCCGCAAACTGCATCCACCAAACAATATGATTTATCTCGACCTCCCCAAAATAACCAAAATCTGACACGGTGTGAGATGTCTTTTTTAGCTGTTCTGTCGTCATTTCCTGCGATCTTCTTCATAAAGTCAGTCAGAATGAATGAATGAATGGGCGTTTCTTTGACTATTTCTAGGCAAATATGGGCGTTACGTGAAGCCCGCAAAAGCTGCACCGCATTTCGAGTCGGTTGTGATTTATAAAGGGAAACCGGCGTAGGAAGTGCTGTACGCACTTTCCTCGCCGGTGCGCAATGTTTGGTGAATCGGAAAATGTCGGAAAATTTCTGTACCTATTTTTTGGATTTCTACTACAAGCAAACTTCCCACGTGAATCCTACGCACGGCGTTATAAATGAGGCGCCTGGCCTGCTGCTCATAGTTAGTGATTATAAGTAAACAATTGCACAGAATTGTACTAGTTAATTCCTAACATTGAAAGTATAAATAATAGATAATTCCAATAAATAAAGGTTGTGTAAGGGAAACTTCTGCAGCAATGGACAGTCAGGAATCAGAGAGACACGAGGAGAGTTGGAGCTCTGATGTCAAACACTAGTTGTTTATTACAAGTATTGTCCGGAGAAATTCACATCCCAAGTCACAGCAGCGAGAGGTTCTGACTGCACGGGTGGGTTGCCACATCAATTCTGACCAGCCTCTCTCTCTCGATAGACCTTTTAACTAGTTTACAGAGAGTTAATCCACATATTGGGGGATGGTGCGTAAACACCTGGGAACACTGGAGATATCCCCAACATCTGGAGATACTGAATCACTTGCCTGACTCTCTAGGCTCTGTGACCGAGAGTTGACCGGTCATAAAACTGAGAATAAGTGCAGCAGCACATTCTTTAAAGGAGATAACAGAGTCAGGGTTGGTTATTAACGTCAACGGGAAATAAGGTTAGACTCCTAGGAGTAAGACAAAATGAATCCCCAACAGGTTGCACCTGCCTATATCACAGATTGTTATGCATCACCCAGCTAACATGCTAACAGGCTAAGTGACCTAAATGAAACAGACCTACAGGTGCAATTTGGATCTGACTAACATGCTAACTGCGTAAATGCTAAACCGTGGACCCTCCTGTAACTTGTGTGTTTACTCAGGGACTTTTACCTTAAGTGAGGGATTGTGAGGCCCTGCCACTGTTAGTGACAGCAGAGCCTCTTTTTAGCTCAACATGTTTGAAAACGTTTCGGATTGCAGGGGGACACAGGCTGAGTGGACTGGATTTAAGAAAAGGGGTGCAGAAAAGTTCGATGGAGCAGATTAAGGAGGACTTCCCTGCTGAAAAAAACAGCTTTGACCAATTTAGCTTGACCAGCTAAATTGACCAGCCTGGCTGGTTTAGAGGGATTTTGGACACTTTAACTGGCCAGGATAGCTGGTTTAGCAGCCATCCTGGCCAGCTAAAAAAACAGCATAGACTGTTGGGTAAATATTTTCCAAGGCCCATAACTTAAGGTGACCAGATTTTCTAAATGAAAACCAGGGACATTTTGAGTTTTACGGTCAATATATCATTAACATATCCAATTTTCTTCACTGTTAAAGAAAAAAGGGGGACAATTCTGGTTTAATGTAATTCGAACATTTGAACTGTTGGATACAAACAGAAGGAAGATAGCTCATATATGAGACTACAAAGGTCTTTTATTTTGAAACTGTACATCAGATTGTCCAGATTATCTCTGAGTGATTAGATGGGGTGTCCTGCTATCACCCTGAAGTGAAATAAGTCTTTGAAACTGGATAGTTTTTGTTTTATTCTTATCTAAAAACAGAGGGATGATAGCTCATATATGAGACTTCAAAGGTCTTTTATTTTTGAAACTCTACATCAGATTGTCCTGATTCTCTCTGAGTGACTAGATGGGGTGTCCTGCTATCACCCTAAAGTGAAATAAGTCTTTGATAATTTGACAGTTTTTTATTTATTCTTGTATAAAAACAGAAGGACGATAGCCCATATATGAGATTTCAAAAGTATTTTATTTTGAAATTCTTCATCAGATTGTCCTGATTTTCTCTGATTGACTAGATGGGGTGTCCTGCTATCACCCTGAAGTGAAGTAAGTATTTGATTGACTTCGAATGACTCTTTGATTATGGACAGTTTCCATTAAATAATAATCAAAATATAGATGGACAATAGATCTAATTTGAGATTTTAAACAGCATACATTTTAAATTGTGCTTCAGAAAGTAATGTTATTTTAGGAGTGTTTTGAGATGGTGTCAACATCAATTGAATGAGTCACCCAGTGGAAATGTCAGATATGTCTTCATAACTGTATCCTGCATTCACTCAGTTATAATGTGGTA